TTCTTTTAGATTCGCGCTCCTGGAGATATTATCATCATGCATAGACTTGTTGTTAAACAGTTTAATGGTCGTAACCAGGGATGTGGTTATGGCACTACTGGTTTTAGTGCTGCTGTATTTTCTGGCGCGCCTTCTGACCCATTGACTCCTTTCAATTCACCTACTCAATGCAGCGTGGGTTAACTTTTCTACAATATTAACACTTTGAATAAAATAAATTTTTGTTACATGATTGAGTGTATATATAAGAAATATGTTTATGTTTGACTTTAGTCAAAGAGAAGAATTACAGTTTAGTAATTTTATATTCTAAGAAACTTTTAAACTACAATAAAGTGTAGTTGACTAACTAAAGTATTGGTTTTTACTGGGTTTAAGTTAAGTCATACTATTCGAAAGATAACTAAAGACTGAGAAAGTTCCTAATTACATAACGTCGGTATAAAAAAACGGATCAGTGTTAAATGGAGATTAAAATTTTGCATAAGCAATGGACCAGTTCCATTTAGTGAATGAACAAATGAAAATCACTTTAAAGTGTATGAGCTGTAGTTAAATGAATGTTGACATGACTGACGTCTTAGCACACAACCTGTTTTATTAATTTGTGTTGGTTGACTTCTTCCATTGACTTAGGCACCCTAAATGTGTGTTAATTCTTGAGGAGAATGGTGCTTTTGTTTCTGTATAGTATTAAATATACATTTTCCCTTTATTATTAAATGTTTGCTTAGTGTCTATGGCGTATAGAAATTACAGCACTTAGTTATGAAACTACTAGTGTATATAACATTAAGGTTAGTGGAATTATTAAATTTTATGCGTGTTGTAACTGTTATTTACTAAGGATGTATTTCAATTGTTCTTTCCTTTTTGGTTTGCATCAGTTTAGCGAAAAAGAGGTGGAAGTTGTTAAAAATCTGAGAAAATGGTATACTTCTCCAAATTGCCCAGTTGAAAAAGAAAATCTAAATGTAGGAAACACATCAGAACACAATGGTCAACTTAGTAGGATTCCTCGAGCAGGAGTAAGAAGAATAAGGTCTTTAAAAGCAGATGAATTCTGTACCATTGAAGGACAAGTAGGTTTTTCTATTTTCGGTTTATTAATTTATTGTACGTATTTTATTCCTCATGTCCAACATATTTTACGCGAAAAAATTAATAATGCATAGGACAAATTATTTAAACTTTAAAAAGTCGCCATAAAAAAGAAATTGTGTTCTGTAAGAGTATGTTTTAAATTGGTCATTAATGAACTCTTCCGCAACAAACCATGGAAGTGTGACACTTGTTCTTCAATCAGCGGTCACAAGTGTGGTGCTAATATTTCCAGTTATTTCTCACTCTAATTGGTCTCTGCGGTATGATAGTCGAATAATGCAGATCACTTAGAGGATAATAGAAATAATTTTTAATCGCATTCCAATTATTATCTTTAGGCGAACATGACGGCAAGAAAACTTATTTTGTTTATATGTCGAATTAGTTTTTGTAGCTTGACACAACATGAACGTGTTCTATGAACGTATTGACACCAGCTAAGTAGGACGCCATAATCACTGGCTTCCATGAAAAGTAGACAGGAAGTGCACTTTATGAGCTGATGGATGGGAACGTTTTTCAAAGCACTGAAATTTTGCATGCGGATTTACGAGATGCAGCATACTTCAACAATGAGGTTCTTCTGGTTTCTTGCTAAACCTGTCCGTTGTTTGATTCGCATCAGTGTGCAAACATTATTTTGAATGCTTTTAATAAATACACTCACTTGTTTTTACAGTGCTGTCCTTCAGCTATCCTATTTTTATTTTTGTATTTCTGTGGATGCATCTCTTGGTGTCAGTATTGTTTCAAATTTAAAAAAGATGAATATGTCACTCTTATAACTGTATCTATTTATTATTGCTATTCCTTCTAGAGAACTAGTTTAATTTGGAAATCTACAATTAAGTCTTTGTTGACTTTTTCTTACTGTAGGTTATCAGCATTTATAAATCTACGGAAACGGATCGGAATCTTGTCATTTATATATGGGATGGACCAGTGTCACCTCATGATCAAAACACAGTTTTTCTAGGTCCATCTGGAAAGCGTTTATTTCAAATGCTTCCTCATTCTCAGCATGATCCACAACTGGCTGCTTTAACAGGACATAATTTACAACATTGGAATAAATATGAAATTGAAATTCAAAGGAAATACTCACTAATAACTCCTGATGACTTAAAATATTTTAAATACTGTGGCGGAAGTAGTACTGAATATAGTGATTGGTCTGTCCCAGTTTCCATTTACGACGAGCATGTCGTTAGTGAATCTGTTAAAAATCTTAAACCTGGTGATTTGATACGTATTCATAATGTACACGTTATCTATGGTCAAGTGAGTTTACTTTTCTCTATTATTATACTAATTCTTGTTTATTTGAACTGAAATTTACATATTTTCACATCATCTTATAATGGATGAATATGTAATGAAGTGTGTGTGTGTTTGAGTGTAAAGGATGTTTACTTGAATGTTGAACTAGATATATTAGGTCGTAGCAGATAAAATAAACGCATAAAAGAACAGAACTTGGACTTCCCCATCGCCTTACTGTGTACCAAATCAAAACGGAATATTGCGCCTTTTTCTCAGTCGGACTCCTTACTTTTCACCTAGCAATAGCTTCCACCTTGTCGAATTGCGTATTCTTAATACATTTTGCCTCAAAATGTAATTTCTTTCTGGCTTTAGACGCAACTCTTTGATGTGCTTTTGAATACTGTACAATTGATTTAATCCCGCCCTATTTGCCAACAGTAGACTGTTTTATATTCGTGGTAGATTTACACAGCTTCGGAAAATGATTCTGTCCGAAGGAAAGCTTCCTTTGCTGATCTGTTGTTTATATTCTCTATAAGTCGATTGGCATTCTCTGTCGTAAGTTGAAACTGTCAAAGTTACTAGTACTGTAACAATAGAAGACAAGGGCCAGGCAACAGGTCGTTTATTTAGGAAATCAACAGGTATTTATAGATTTTCATGTGCATTATTATAGATTATTGTAAGCAAACAAATACAGTCTTCTGATTGGTGGTTTCTCACTGAACGTTAATCTTTCATCTCTTTGTGGCCGTTAGTTGAAGTTCAGATTATCTATCTGCGAATTGTATCTACCTACTCAAAGTCTGCTGTGATTGGTTGTTGAATCAGTCTTTGTTCCTATTTTCCTCACGACCAATATTGGGGACGTAAACAGTGACGTAAATTACTGTCTACCAATTCGGCTAGCGGCCAGCTCTCACCACAGTACTAGTGAATACTAATCAATCCATTTTGGTTTATACATGGAAATTTATAACATGACAAAGTGTTTGGTGGATTATGGTGAAAATCACAAACATGCATTCAGACAACTTACGTTAGCTTTGTTTCCTGACATGTAGGTGGATTTTAACTTTCACCGTGAGACACATCTATTAGGCACATCACTTTTGAATTAGTTGTGTTCTCTGAGCTGGTCGATTTAGTTGTGAAGCATTCGTCGTCCTTCTGGACAACATCTTCAGCGCATTAATATATGTGTAAAACTTGCGCACTGTGGTAGTAAGTAGTTTCATATTAGTGGCATTCAAATCCACAAACTCAATTAGAAACAAGCTTTGTCGGTTAAAGGAACCTGTGAAGCCTTTAAAACAAAACAATTTAGTTTATCTAACACCCTGCAATGATTGTCAGGTCAAATACATAGGTCAAACTAGTAGAACAGAGACAGTCAGACTAGCCGAACATAAAAACCTAGCAAAATCTAGATTGGTTGACCCAAATAAGACAAGAAATCTAGAGAATAGTTCAGCTATAGCACTACTTGCAGTTACACACAACCATACAATAGGGTGGGATAGAATGAAAGTTTTAAAATCTAATATCACAGGGTAGAGGGAGAGATTGATAGGGGAAGCTTTGTTTATCGAATCAACTGCAAATACATGTAATAGGAATGATTCAACACCTGTCCCAGCTATCTGGAAAATTCTACTACCCCTACAACAAATAAAAGACAAAGGAAACTATAAAACTCAAGTTTCAAAGTCGTGTGATTACAATTGACATGATTATGAACAATAAATTGTGTTCGGAACGTCATCCAGTAAATAATACTGTTTCACTGTGCAATACACCTAATAAACAAACTAATATGGAGTCTTCAGCGCATGTTTTAGTATAAAATGAACTCATTTGAATTCTCCATGAACGACATAACTGTGTCTCCTGGCAGCCATCTTCGTGACTGGTAGTTGATTTACATCTCTATTGATGATTTTTATTGACTTAGGATTTGAAATTTCTTGTCAAGTGATTTACTTTTTATTAGCTGGTAATTTTCGTCGACAATAATTTTTTTGTTAATCTCTGATTCACTTGAGTACCAGGCTTCTAGAAATTCTCCGGCACCTGAGCTACAAATCTTCGCTATTGTTTTAAGCACATCAATATCAACGGAACAAAGTTGAAAGAGGTTACTTGTTTCACTTATATAGTCAGCATCATTTCAACTACAGGTGGAGGCACGGATGGGAATGTCAAAATCGGAATCAGAAAGGCAAGAAAGGTGCTTATTACTCTGAAATCATTTTTGAAATCTTCTGCACTCAGCACAAAGAACAAAATTCGGATTTTCAACACCAATGTAAAGTCGGCTCGTCTCTATGGATCAGGAAGTTGGCGTGTCATCAAAAGAATTTCCAACAGGCTTTATAATTTTATCAACACTTGCCTCTGCTCCATTTTGAAGACCAAATGGCTGTCCGGAAAAGATTAACAACAAAAAACTTTGGGAATGAAAAAAAACAAGCACCTGTTGCTTAAGAAACACGCCAAAGAAAATGGAAATGGACTGCACATACTCTGAGAAGACCGCTAAGTGACATCTCATGCCAGGCTCTCAGGTAGAACTGAGTGAGAAACGACGAGTTGGGCATCCAAGGGGAACCTGGAAGATATCATGTGAGGAGGAAATGAGGGCTTATGGTCAGTTGGGGAGCCAGCTAAAGGGGACTGCAGCATGAAATGCAAATGTCCTGCCGAAGGCCTATGTTCCACTTGGAACTCAAGGGAATGATAAGAATAACTTATTGAAGGCATCACACTCCATTTTGTCAATCTTCTCAGGCGACTCCTCTGTGTTTTTGCAAAATAGCGTCACTAATATTCGACGAATATTGTCATTAAGGATAGATGGGTTGTTTATTTCATAGCACAAGCCTTGTTTAGAGGAATCACCATTTCAGCAGTGTAATGGCTAGATGTAGAGTAAGTCATTACAGTTGTAAAATTCCTTTGGTCGAAGTAGGCGCAATATGTTAAGTCCTAATTACTAACTACATTAACGTGGTGTTGGTGTAACTGGAAGAAAAAAGGTTACTCAGAACAAGAAATAACTGTCCACTAAGTCATTGATTGTTGGCATAAGTTGTGTGAGGGTCTGTCAGTTGCATGGCGTAGGTTGTCGATACTGGAGGAATATGGGACTGGAGATACCAGCTGACATATTTAAAAATCTACCGTAGTAGAGCAGATTTATATGTATTATCTAGTCTCCACCTTAATTATTATTTTTTATTCTTTACCTCCCAGATGCGTCAGTAGCACTTCCTAATTTCACCCGGTTCTCTCCCATCACCTCCAACTAGCTCCATGACTACCTACAAGTTTTCGTCTCCTTCTCACATAGTCTTCTCTACGTCACTCTGGGACGCCCAATTCCTTGCTTCCCATTCGGGCTGTACTCAAGGGCCCTGGAATGTGGTGTCACCTGATGGTCCCACCCACGTACACTTTTTTCTGAAAATAAATGTGGTGGTAGTTTCTTGGCTGCTTGTTCTTTGCCTTTCAGAGTTACTTTTCGATCAGCAATCTCATCTTCGATATCGATCGGAGGCAGGTATTGATGAAATTCTGTGGTAGTTTGTTGGAAGTACTTTTCGTTACACCTTCACCAAGGGTGTGAACCGTAGAGAAGCACTGACTGAATATTACTGTTGAAAATTTGAATTTCAGTAGAGAAAGAAAGACCAGATTTGCAGCATAAAATGATGTCATTCTATTTCACAGGTTCTCATCGGCTGCAGACTACCTGAAATTACAATGGTTATATAGACGATAATAACATACTTTAATGTTTAGGTGGTAGTAGCAAAGAAATACTATAAAAGTGACGCATCCGAAATGTAAGCATTAAAATTTTTAGTTAAAGTTTTCATCATCAATTTATACGCTTTCAAAGTAGAAAAGAGGGGGAGGGGTAAGACAGTAAACAGAAAAGATTAACAAACAGTGTTAGCTTGTAGGTTGACATAACAACTCAATGCATCTGCCCCTTTGAAAGCGATTTTGAGCCATATCACCGATTGTCTGCAGGCATTGATGTTTACCGTCCCGAGGACCCCAACCAAGAAGTCTACACCTTCCTACGTGGCTTAAACTAATTGTAGTGGATTTTATTGACTGATGAGGCCATTTGATGGTTTGATCACCGCTGGCTCTTTTCAACCTGACCCTATGTCAGCTAACATTCCCCGTCGAGGAAGGCGATGGCTAGGCATAAGTAACACATGTCCTAATTGGTTTATGTTATGAGTTTAGCTGCAGGGAAGCTTATTTTTATTGCGCCTTTCATTCTTTTGTGACACTGCATCTCCTTTGAACCAAATGTATGAAAAATTCGGATCTTTTTCCTTGTATTGGGTGCTGTGAACCTACACACTGATTTCAGCCGGATGAATGTCTGTCTTGTTTTTCTAATCCTGACTAGTTTTGACATCTTCGGGCGTGCTGCTTGGTGATAAAGCTATGCTGCCTGTCTAGGTATGTGATAGAGATAACTTCCTTTAGATGTTTCCCGTCGATGGTAGTTGACTTTTGTTGTTGGTCGAGTATCGCCATTGTCACTGTTTTCGTTAAATGAGACATGAATCATCTGCAAAATCCATATCTTCTAGTGTCATTTTTGAGTCCACTGTAAGCCGGTCTTTCCACTTCCCATGGTCAGCTGCATAATCTGGGCCATACTAGTTTTGAAGATCACTGGTGATGGTAAGCACCGTTGTTTAACTCCTGTCTTCATTTCAAAGGTTTTGATGAGCTTTCTGTTGTAATTTACTTAGCATGTGGATGAGGTATATGAGGGTCCGTGGTACTGCATACAGTAGTGTTGAAGCAGTTGCCAAATCTTTTTCTCGATCGAAGCTGACTATGTTAATTGTAATACCTTTTTTTCTTGCTTTACCTCTCCATCCTCTGTTTCATAACATGCTACAGTCTTTGTGTAAACGATTTAGTTTGCTTTTTTATTGCCTATTACTTGATATGCACTAAATAATGACGGTAGCTACTAT